GACACAGACACAAGCAGAGACACACATAGACACAAGCAGACACACACAGAAACAGACATACACACACACTCAGACACACAGAGACACACAGACACACAGAAACACACACATAAAGACACAGAGACATACACACAGATACAGACAGACACACACACACTCAGACACTCAGACACATAGACACAAGCAGACAGAGACACATAGACACAAGCAGACACACATAGAGACACAGATACGCAGACACAGACACAGGCAGACACACACAGACACAGGCAGACACACACACAAACAGACACACACCCAGACACAGACACAGACACACACACAGACACACAGACACACAGACATACAGACACAGAGACAATCACCCAGACACAGACACACAGAGATACAAAGACACACACACCCTGCTCCTCTTCACCCACCCTCAGAGGAGCCCTCCTCACCCTGCAGGTTCCTTGGTCCCTGTCAGGTGTCGGGCAGCCTGTGTTTATCACAGACGTGGACAATATGGTGACCGAGCCAGACGGACCAGCCCCCGTGGCCCTGACAGTCCTTGCTGGGGGAAAAAACGTCCACCTCATAACAAGTGAACTTAAAATGACAGCCGTGACGGTTACAGAGAGAAGCATGGGGCTGAGAGAGCGCACGGCAGGACACGGAGCTGACGGGGTGCAGTGGACGCCTCACCCTGTCTGAACACAGGGAATGGGGGTCAGAGCAGGCCGGGGCTGTGCCCAGCGCCAGTGGGCTCTGCAGACCCTGTCGCAGTGGGTTAGCGTGGGGGAATGGGACCCTGTTGTCTCTTCTGGAAGCTCAGTGCACCTGGCCCTGGGAGAGGGCCCGGAGGGAGATGGAGGGGCGAGGCCAGCAGGGCCTGCGGGGCCAGAGGCAGGGAGGCGGCGGGTCTTAAGGGTAACTTGCGTCCTCAGCGTGTGGGCCTGCAGCGGGCTTCCGACGCCACGATTTAATTGCCGTTTTCTGGTTTTGCCAGAGCACCTGGTCCTGGCTAAATGCTCTGTGGCGGGAGCCGCACAGCCATCCCTGTGTTAGGTGTGAGCAGCAGGGGGCTCCCTGCTCGTGTGTGCACTGAGCCATCCATCAAGGTCACATGTGGGCAGCACTGGACTCGACGTTACGGAAAAACAAAGGAACACATGAACTTCAGTCTGCTGGACACGTGTGTGCGTAACTTAACCTCTAGGAGGAGCTGTTCATGACTGCGAAGGACGTACTGGGGTTTTCTAGGGGCGTCTAGAGAAAGCTGAGCGAAGATGCTTTAACTTGGGGAGTTACAGATGGGGTTGTTAAGGAAGAAAGACCCATGCTTTCCT